AGATGGGAGCACCGGCCGGATTTGAAAAAGGAAAACGACACAACCCCCCCCCCCCCCCCTCCTGTTCCGTCTGGAAAGGGAAGCGTGGTCAATGGTCAAATGATTACGGCAAGCAACAAATGAGTACGCCCCCCCCCCCACATCGCTCGTGCTAGCGTCGGGGGGCGGAATTAGGCGTTGTTCTTTAGGGCAGCCGGTTGGCGCGGTAAATCCTTGCCTCAGAAAAATGGCCCCAAGTAAAAAAAAAAACGTTGCAAAAACTGCCTCTCAAGAACACTGCCCTATCCTTGCCCTCCACCCAAACCACAACCTCATTTTCCACAGGCATCACCCCCACTCCGCGCTGAACATGGTTCATCCCGGCGGAAAAACGCCACCTCCGTCAGCATTAGCGCCCCCTCTTCCCCCCGCAACTCCCGCCGAAGCACTGCAAAGAAGTACGCGTCAACAACCGGTGGCATCACTGGGGCTGTAGGCGGTGGCAATGGCGGGAGCAATGGCAGCGACGCCTCCTACACGTTCGACTACTTCGGGCTGGCGGGCCAGAGGGGGGTGTGGCGAGGATTAGAGGCGGTCTCGGCGGCCCGTGCGGAGGTGGGTGGTAAGGCGAGGGTTGCTGTTTTTTAAACGTCATTGACGCGGCATCGACTAGTCCATTGCAAAAAAGCGCGCTGTTTCGATAACGATGGAACTATGTAAGGAAATGAATACATACGACTCCATTGGTTCAAACTGGACCCCTCTTCTAATCCAGCTGCGAGCGGGGGCGAACGCGGGAATCGAGGAAACGAAACAATTGATTGCATCGGAATATCTCGGGAGTCTCCTCTCGACCACATGTGCCTTTGGTTAGGATGATGTACGTCAATCCTCCGAGTTCATCACCTCCAAAAAGACTTTTTTGTGAATGAAACAACCACCAGATGCACATATTACGCGACGACATGCAAGTGTACTTGTGCAAGAAGCTGATTATACCGGCCATTCCCGGTGACACTACAACACACAGGTGGGAATCGAGGCGACGAAGGACAATGACGACGGCCATAACAGCAACAAGCAGGCGTCGGCTACGGGTAGTCGGGGGGGAAACGAGGCACAAAGCGCAGCGGGAGAAACTGAGTCGGAGAGCGGACGCGGGCGCGGAGCAGGCGGCGGCGGGGCGAGGGGACGGAGAGGGGAGCCAGGGTCTCTGCTGCCGGAGAGAGTGCCGGCGAAAGGGGTGTGTTCCCCTCCGAAAGAGACTCGCGACGATCTGCACACGTGAGCGTTGTGTTGCAAGCTGTTCTGTTTTCCTTTGGTGCTGCCTTGACTATGCACTCATGGTTCCGAAGCATGCAACTATCAGCAAAAGCTCCAGTTGGTCCCTGAAAATTCAAGACAGATGTCACTGCCATGAAGTTCTCGAAAAAGCGGTTTTCTTCTTCCCACCCCCCCGAACGTGCTGTGACATCTTACACATAGCATGTCAATCGTCCTCGACGGCGTGTAACTGACCCTGATTATTGAAACGACATTTTCTCGGCGTCATGACTGAAGGAAGGCAGGCCCTTCCGAAACCACAAGGAAGGCAACCGGTGAAACAAGCTACTATTGTACACAATTTTTCCTCACCAACCGAACCGCTGACCCTCGACGCCGCCTCTCCCGAAACAGGTACTACGCCGCAGTAAATCGCACCACGGCCGCCCTCGACAGCACCAGCGGCTCGAACTTGCCCCCTCCCCCATCCCCCCGCGCCCTACGGTAAGGCCCCGCCTAGGAGGCTCACGGTGTCTCGGCGTTTACATCGGGAGACTATCGTCGAGGGTATGATGTCCTTTCATTCCCCGCGCGCTCTGACGAAAGGCGCGATAGTGGGCTATACAGCGGTAGCGCGGCGGCCACTAGGCTGCACGAAGTCTGGAGATACCCTCGACGTTTTGTAGACAGCGAGACTTATATTCGACGGCGGCGATGATGCTGCTATAAGCGTGAGCCGGAACGGGGCACGGAGAGAAAAAACTCGAGGACGATCAGGACGAGCCGGCACAGCTGGAATGCCGCGTCCTTCGAGCAACAGAGCAAGAATAGCAAGAAACGAAGCAAAAGTGCCAGCTTCCTACTCGACGCAGAAAATATGCGTACGACTTAAAAAGAAGCGTGGGTGAGCGAGAGACTCTCCTTATTCAGTCCAACGAAGGGAAAACTCATAGACTACCTGGTAATATGACAGATGCGTTGTGGGTAGACTACTGTAATCAGGAAGGAGTGGAGAGTGAAGGAAGGAGCGGGGAGTGGTGGTGAAGTACAGCCGGCTGCAGGAGTGATTCTCGTTTCGCCTTCGGGAAACTGTAAGATAAACGGTTCATCTCGCGGAAGCTATCCGGTGAAACCGCCTCGCACGTCCCGTGCCTGGTAGTCTCTTATGGCGGACGCAAGCTTGTCACAGACGTTTGTTCAGCCGGTGTGCAATAGCGTGGTGTCAACGAGTGGGATCATTGCGACAGAAGCACTTCTGACGCTCCATGGGATGGATAGCTATAGGGCCCAGGGTTCATTCGTGAAATATGTACTTCCACAAATATGTTTCACTCTATTAAGGCGGTCTCCGTTCTGTTTTGTGTGGGAGGGGGCGTCAACAACCTGTAATGATGTTGTCGCGAGGTGGTGGACATGTCGGAAAATTGTGTGTAAGGACTAGAATGTATGAGCATGTGCCTGAGTAGATATGGTTACAGTGTGCGAAGAACGGCAAGGAGAGGTTACCACGCCCAACCACCAGTTTCTTTGAATACGTGCCCGATAAGTTCCTCGTGATCAGGTGAAAGTTTTAATTGTGAATAAGGGACCAAATAAATGCGTTCTTGCGGGATGCCCACCAAGACACTGGCGTGACGAAAAGCAACAGCTATGGGCTCTTTGTTCCCGCGGCAAAACAACATAAATCACGACGAACAGATATCATATCATAGATATCGCAGGCAGGTGGTGTTGGTCGTTGGCTCCAAACACGTATGCGAACGGCCCATTCCCTTCACCTCTGCCTTCCTCTCCCGGGGGAGAACATCAACCATTTTCTTGAACATGGAACGGACCACTCACCACTAAAGCGCTCGCTCATTGAAGATACCGAGATCTCTGGGAAACGAATGGAAGGTGGGTGGACAGCTAGGACAATTTACACATGAACGAGCTGACGTTGAAGAACTCCTTGCAGACTAGTTGGTCGCTTGGTGTCCGCATTGGTTGAGGTACGGATCATTGAAAGGTGTCCATGTTTTCTCATACCATTCAGTTCCAACTGATACATGACTAATCAAACTTCATGCGCCAAACATACTCACTTTTCACTAGCAACACCCAGGAACCCAAAAATCCCTACTCGCACAAACAAGGCCGGGCTCGTCGGTTTCGAAGCAACCATTTCTGCCTGAGAACGAGCCGTGTACACTCCGGACGTTCGGGAAACGGTCGCACGGAAGCGGCCGCCTCGTCGCATCGCTACCTACCGCGATCGAGTTGCTCTCCTTGTCTTGAGTCCCGTGCGTGTACGAGAACGACGACCATCTAGGAAGGTGCACCCTAGAGACCTCTCCGAACCATCAGCGGAATTCCTCGTAAGACTCGTAGTCACTACCGTCGTCGTCGTCGTCGAGCTGCGGTCGGGCCCACCATACCAGATCAATAACGCAACGGGGGTTGCTGCCGTTGTTGATAAAGTCATCCTCGTCGTCACTGCTGCAAATCCGGGTGTAAAGATACTCTAGAGGCTCCATGGGCGGCCGGGCTTTGCTCTGCACGGGAGGTGGCGGGTTGTGAGGGGCTCACGAGATAAGACAATACCTACTGGACGAGTTTGTGGTGCTTGATTGGGCTCCACAAAGAGCTCAAACGTTCTGCTCAATGCGACGATTGTGCTTGCAAGTGCGAGGAGCGTCTATTAGCGAAGACACATAGACAGATTAGAGCCGGGGGGGGGGGTGGGCTTGGCTGCTTTGCGTTTTCGGTAGTTGTCCAAGACTGAAGATACGTCATTTGCCCGAAAACCAACGACATATCGCCTTGCACTGGCCGCACACGCTGTCATGCGCGCTGAAAGCACCGCCAAAACCAGTGAACTGCGAGTCCAAGGATCAGTGTTCTTGCCCCCCTCCATATACATTCGAGTTCGCCCTTTTCGCAATATTAGCATCTCCTCGTCCTCCTTCTTTTTTTTCTCCAAAATAGTGCTACGGGTCTACCACTGCCAGAACGGAAACTCGCTCACCATCACGAACTTCAGAGACACCTCCCTTGGCAAGCACCTCCTCTTCCTACGACAGGGAGAGCACCGCAACCAACCATGCCCTCGCGCCTTGCCGGCTTCAGCACCAACACCTCCTACGCACCTTCCTCGTCGACATGAGCTTCAGAACGTCCTCCAGAAGGGCGATCTCTTCCTCCGTTAGCACGACCCGAAGGGCCGCGAGGTGAGCCTCCCGCAACCTCGACGGAAAGTCCACCTCAAAGTCGATCACGAGGGATCCCCTATCCCCGTCCCCTCCCACCACTGGAAACCCTAGGCCGGGGAGTTCCTGTTGGTACCCGGAGAGGGTAACCTGTGTTTTGGGGTGATGACGGCGGGGGGGTATGTTGTGCTCTCATGCCTTACTTGGGTTGTGCTGTTCCCGATACCAGCTTGTAGCGTGAAGTAGGGGGGCAAGGCCCTTGATCTCCGTCTGTTACCACCACCTGAAGCCCGGGGTTGGAGAGTTCCAATGAAATGCGGGGCAACCTGATTGGCGGCGTATGTGTGTGAGGAGTACGCTTTCTTATTAGCAAACTTTAGTTTTTTCCTGTAGGCGGGCCTAGTTGGAAGCCGAAAAGGAAGGGGACGGTCGATTATCCTAGTACCAAACGGCCAGGGAATGGGGTCAGCCATTTGCCAAAACGCGAGTGGCCGAACAACCTGGTCCTGTAGGGCTGCGCCTGCCGTCGGGCACAGCCAGCAGCGTTCCCGCCGGTCCCGAACGCCCCTCCCCTGAACTAGGCCTAAAATATTTCTACCCTGATCCGGAAAATGCGAATGACGAGCCGAGGATGGTCACCTGGTCGTGGACGATGGGCACACGCGTCCCGTCGAGCAGGGTTAGCATGCGTTCGAACCCGAGGAGGGCGTCGATGAGCGAGATCTTCTTCCTGTAGATGAGATCGGCGCCTGGGTTGATTTGGTTGGTCGAACAACAATAGCAGCAGCAGCAGCAACGGCGGCGGTGGCGGCGGGAGCAGCAGAAGCAGCAGCGTTGTGTGTCTGCTGACCTTTCCCACCTAACGTTTTCCCGTTCTGTACCGTACGGGCGTGTGTGCGCCTACTGGTGTCGAAACCCTTAACGAGGACTGACTTGATCATCTGATCCTGCCTCAGCTACAGGTTCAGTCTCGGGGTTGGCACCCCTGAAAAATTGAACGTGACACGTAGGACGGGCGAACTGAACAATGCACTTGCGGGAAGCGCTGACAAGACACGCTTGCCATCCGCGTGATCGCTTTCATCCACGCGATCTCCCATTTTTCTCCTCGAGCAAAAGGGGCCGTGTCCCAAAATCCCTGTTGGAATTTGATAGATAGCGCAAAGTCTCCTGGACGAGCAGCAATCGAGCTGTTAGGACGGTGGCACGGGGGTTGCGCGATCACCCGGACAACTACGTTGCGTAAGGCTATTATGCTCGGTGTCACAAGTAGTTCTGGTCCCACCTAGGCGCTCGAACCTAGGGTGGGCATTCTGCACAGCCACCACTTGAACGCTCCCTGGAAGCTTGTCGGGGTGCTCGATCCCTTTGCCGACAAGGATAACAGCGTGGCCCGGCAGAACGCCAGCGGGGAGGGTCACCTGCACCCAAGGGAAGAAGGGTTTGTGTGTGGTGTGCGAGGACAGGGGCACCATAAAAACGGGGCTCAGCGTCTTCGTTCTGGTCAGGGCGCGTGCTAGGCTATTTCGGCAAGTGGTCGACAAACAGGTAGGGCTGTCGGGGTGAATCTGAACATGGCTGGCCACCGCTTCCGGAGCTCAGGGCTTATTTCGGCGTCCATGTGGGTAGTCGCAGTTCAGGGTTTCGACGCAATGCATTTTGCTGCGTCGGTGTGACCAACATGGCGGTGCCCTTCGTTTTCTTTTGTCACACTCGTGAGCCTTGCTTGGACTTCAGTAAGTGCTCTTTGGGGCCCTTTCGTCGAGACGAGTTAAAATGACTTCTTGATCTTCGTCCGGAAGGAGGAATGTCATAGTTGTTACCGACGTCGTCGTCGTGGCGGTTGTGGTTATCATTGACATGCTTTTGTTGCTGTTGTTGTTGTTGTTGTTGTTGTTGTCTCACCTCAAACGTTTCGGTTTCCACCTTGACTTTCCGTCCGCGGCAGTCAGGACACCCCCCGTCCGACACCTTTCCTGTCCCGCCGCAAACCTGGCAGGAAACGGCAGCAACGGAAGCGACGACAGCAAGGACAACGGCAGGGCCCGACCGCAACCAGAAAAATAATATTAAGCAAGTCTTGGCGATCTTGTGAGGGTTGGAAGTCGTCTTCCGTGGCCCAAACGAATGTGAGAGAGCCGTTTCGCAAATCTTCAGCGAAACAGGCGAATGGAGAGACGGAAACGGCGTACCGTATACCATGGAAAATGCCGCTCCTCCCCTCTGCCGGTTAGCTTGCTTTACGCTTTGTGGTGGTGGACTCCATGCGGTGGCGTGCTAGTCTGCTCGAAACCAACCTGAGACAATCGAATATCCCGGGTCTAGAAAATCTGTGCCCGTTCTGCGGTAACGACACTTCATCACCAGGCAGGATGTGTGATGTTTCACGTGAGCCACGGAGTTAAGAGTGTCCGCTAACTCTCGGGTAAAACCCTTTGACCGTGCGTGTGATCACGCTCATCAAGCGAATCTCAATGCGGTGGGCGGGGCTGTGTACGAAGCAGGCAACGTGTGGACCTTGCTTTCTACACGTTCGTACACCGACCACGATCTGCGTCCGGTCCCATCGCCTGGCCTTACCTTGCAAGTGGTGTTGACCGCGTGCGCGTAGCCCGGCAGTCCATCCCCACCGCCGCCGTGGCTCACGCCGTCCCTTCGGCCGTCAAGGTGCTCCGAGCAGCGGCCCCTCGGGTTTCCACTGGAGGCGTCGTCATCGTGATGGTGCCGATCACCGTGGGAATGGTGGTCGCTCTGAGTGCCGGACTCGTGAACGGCGAAGAGGTGGTAGGCGTAGCCCTTCCCCTCGCACAGGTTGCACTGTTTTTTTTTCGAAGAATATAGAAGAAAGGGTTTCGTTTTCTTGAGCACTTGCACGAACGCACGGCAATGTTGTAAACATATTGGTAACAGACAGAGTTTCTTCAGTTGTGTTTCGTCGTTAGTCATGTGCTGCCACGTTGGCGTGGTTGCTGTATGTAGCGTTAGGGGCACAACAACAGTTCGCATCAACAAGGGGCGACGCCAAAGGTGGCGTCAGAAAAACAAGGGCGTGCCCAACGTTAGCTGCAGGGCGAAAAGGCGAACACTTCTGACGTCCACGCAAGATACATCAATTTGTGCGGGAGAGGAAAGGAGGACCCAAGGCGGATTCGTGGGGTGCATCAAGCGGACATGCGTATTGGTATCTATATCCAACAAATCTCCTCCTGTCGGCTCAATGAAAGGAAGAGTGAGGAAAGTACTGAGTATGATGGAAGTTCGTTGCCTTATTACCAGGAGGGGGGGCGGGGATCAGGGGCGAGATAGATCACAACTACCATCGACAGTGTCATGAATGAGAAGGCAAGTTGTGTCTAGTTCGCATGATGGCACAGCACTGCCTTCGGGGATGGCTGCAGTACGGGGGCAGGACACAGAAGCACGACAGAGACCGCGGAACCTTGCCAGCCTAGGAGGCGATGAGCGGGCGAAGCGAGGTCAGGTCTCACAATCTACTGCTGTCTTAGCGCGCCTGATGGAGTTTCGTTCTGATCGGTGGCGTGCGGATGTTGTGAGATGAGTGTTGACAGACACGACAGTGGTCGGTGGGGAATCGGGGTTCCGTGGGTGGTGACCCGTACCATGAGCGTCGATACCGTGGAAGCGACCGCTCTTCTCTCTCTACCACCACGAGGTTTTTCACACCGTGGGCATTTCCCCGGGCTCGGAGGCGCCGGTTCCCCCGCAGGTGCGGCACAACCTCTCGCGAGCGACGGTCACGTTTGCCGTCTTCCCCTCGAACGCTTCCTCGAAGGTGACCGGCAGCGCCACCATCAAGTCTGGCGCCCTCCTCTTCCCCTATTGCAACCGAGACCACGCGGATGGAAGGATACGGACAGCGTCAAGGAGGGCGGGGCGCTTTTGGCCGATCGTTGAGGGAAGGAGTAGTGGAGTCTCCAACGGGCGACGCCGATTCGGCTTTGGCGGTAGACTATACATGTTCTTCGCTAAATTTGAAAGCTTGGCACCTTTGTGCCCCTCCCCGAAAACGTAAGCCGGGCCACTGTCTGCCCTCGATGCACCTCGTCGTATGACAAGCATTTCAGGCACACCAGTTCTTGCCTGTGATTAGCCGTGACTGAAGCAACGGAGATTTCAGGCTCGAAGAATCAGAGCAAAATAGCCCCAGACTTCGTGAAACTGGTTTTCCTAGAGACCGCTTGAGTAACGTGTCCCACAAAATGTGAGTGCCACAGGAACCCACTCTGATGTGCCCCGAGGTGTTTTGAAGGGGTAAATGTTTAACTGGTGCTCAACGACGGCAGCCTTGACGACTCCTAGCTTCACCTAAACATGCCTACCAAAACGTACGCGTGGTATTTATTGCGATGTCTCGTTCTCGCCTAGAGGGGATAAACCAAGACTCAGACAGGGGAAAGCAGCGCCGTGTCCACGCTGGCTAACACCAAGCACATACTGCAGCGCTTACGTGGCCTTTGTAGCGAAACGAGAGCCCCCCCCGCCCGCCGCCGAACCTAATGAAGATGCCGAAGGGGGCGTCTTGGTACCTCTCCTCCGGTTCCTCTTCGCCCGGCATATTGTTCACCCCCTGACGGTACATGGCAGCAAACGCAATTCAGAAAAGAGGGATCCTGTTGACTCCGAACGTGGGCGATCAGGTCTCGAGTACAAGGTGTCTTGTCTGTCCTTCGTGGGAACAGGTTATATGTTTCCAGTTGTCCGCGACAAGCAACTCAGGAGATTGTGACAGCAATCTGCTGCATCTGGATTGCTCATAGTACACCCCAACAGTATCGTCTAGGAGCCTCTTTTCAGCGCAGAAGATTCAGGTGCCGGTACTGGGTATCTAAGCAGTGGCACGTAGAAGCAGCAACACTGAGCTACAAACGGCGGCATCTCATGCTTCGGGTGTACCTCTTTCATGCCCGTCAAGTCGTATTGTTGCCGCAGGATAGGATCGTAGAGCGTCTCGTACGCCTCCTTGATCTGCCGATGAAAACGGCAGGTGCATTAAGGAACTGATTAGCACGTGGTGGGGAAGCCCCAATGTAAAATTACCGAAGGCGCCGACTTGTCGCGAGGAAACCCTTACCATTTCGTGGCTCTGTGCCATTCTACTGTACCCGACACCTGGCCATCGGCTTGGGGTCGTTATCTCTTTGTGTGCATGGTCTACACAGTACAAACCAGACAACAGAGAATGACCAGCGAGCCACGTAGAGGAGGGCGTGGTTTGTGAACCCACTACTGTACATGCATTGACATTCCTTTTCGGCGTGCCTGAACGAGTGGTGGCTTCCGAAACCTTCCTGGTGCGAATGGGCTTGGATCGTGTGCTGTTGTAGACACGATTGTGTACGTCAGAGTACTTACGTGAAGACCGCTGATGTAGACTGGGCCTTGAGACTAGACCTTGACGTCAGCCCTCATCGTGTTGCATTTTCACTCGTTCTTCTCGCGTTTGCTGAATTCAACCCCCCCCACACACTAACACTACCCCTGTGACGGACGGTGGCAACCGCCTACAGCATACCTTCACAAAGATGTCGTTTGCTTCGCTCGCAACCTCGTCATTGCGGAAGGGCCCCTTCTTGTCTGGGTGCATCACGCGGGCCAATCCGAGATAAACTCGCTTGATCTCCTTCCGCGAGGAGTGCTTCGACACGCCCAGTACCTCGTACAATGTAGCCTTGGGGTCATGGAACCTCCTGCTGCTGCCATGCGGCGGCGGGCGTTCGTCCGCTGCTGCCGCTCCCTCGATCCACGGCAGAAGCAGCAGGAGCATGAACGGAAGAAGATTGCAGCACCACCAGCAGATGTCCCGCATGGCTGGGGGTACAGCAGCCGTTCGTGGCGGTCGCCGTCGTCTTTGCGCTATCGAGGAAACCCACGTCCATGGAGCTAGAAGCTCGGCCGGACCTTGTAGACCCATCTCTTCCTCGCCCCCCGCTGTTTTCGCTCTCATGGGCGCCACATAGGTTTGGCGCTGCAGCTGGTGAGAACGCGGCGAAAACAAGATACGCGCAAAATGCCTCCTCGCATTTTTCACGCGAAAAACGACCTGACTTCCCCCCCAAAAGGTTTTCAGTTGAAGACCGGTGCTGCGTGCAGCCACATACCTGAGCTCGCATCGCACAGAGTACGACTATGGCTCCCGACAAGGCACCTTTGGACCACCAGTCTGCGCAGGGGGCTCAACCTAAGACGCCCGAAGCCGAAGTTCCAGCGTGGACGGTCGCACCCGCAAAACGTCAGGTGTGGGTTGGATACAGATTTCATCATCATCCATCGACGGTCCTCTCTGCTCTCTGCCCCCAGCGGCTCCCACTTACAAACCTGTCGGCGTGGGCTTCCGGAGGAGCGTGCAAACTGGCAATACTCTTGCCTCGCGTTTGTTGCTCTCTGCGTAGTAGATTTGTTTTGAAGCAGGGGTGGACTCGGTGCAACGTATGTGTGTTATCACGCCAAGCGGAACAATTGTTGTTCCCACAGCAGCAGGTGCCAAGTCACTCACACGGGGAAGACAGCTGCAGTGCGCGTGGCGATTGCCCCCCACCACCAGGATTTCGTAAGATCGCAACGGCGTACAAACGGGGCCCTGCTAGGGCAACGACAAAATCTTTGTGTCAGTGTCGCATACCGTCGTGCGGCGCGTAGCGAAACACACAAGTTTGCCTTACTCAATCAAATCGTGGGTGTGTATTTTCATGAAACCAGCTCTATAACAAAAAAAAAACTTGTACAAGTACAGAGTAGTACGCACATGGTCTCCCACTCAGCAGGAGAAACCCGGACGTGTTGGCGTTGTAGGCGTGTACGCCCTCTGTGTTTTCTCATGCGTTGGCGCAGTAGCGACTTAGAATAGCTCGGCGGTGCCTCTATTTATTCGCTTCCGCCGAACCTCACGTACGTACAGTCCGGGTTCCCTCATTAGTAGTGCGGTCCGCAATAGTGCCGGCATTCCGTACATAGGGTTTCAAATCTCGATTTCTCCACGACAAAGAAGATGCCAAACGTTGTCGGAAAGCTCTCGACGAGGCGGATCCGATGCCACAATTTTCGGCACGCCACTGCTGTTTTTTCTGCAGCGTAATCGAGCTTTGAAAAACGGTCCAGGGGGATGTGATATCTTACGTCACCTACAGTGCATGGGTTCAGTCAAAACCTCCCGTCACGGATTGTGGTGCTGTAGATGTAGACTAACACCTTAAGACATTCGCCCACTCTGAGGACAGAGAGGTGACGCATGGGGCATGGAGCGAAGATACCCCTGTGTATAACAGACTATGTACCCGAAAGTTCGGTGGTCATCTTGCGTACCGGATATAGGCAATTTATTTGTATTGTGAATCCAAGGGTGGTGATGCAGCCATCACTGAATTTCCAGTATTGCGGTGGTTATCAGACTAAATGGGTACGCACACATATATCGAATCTTCAACTCGTAGCAGCCCTTTCTTCAGCCTGCCGCTGAGCTGTTGCACGTTCCTAACAAAAAACAAATCCATACGGCCGCCACAACCGCGTCGAGTTGGGCCTCTTGTTGCAGCTGCATCGTCAACAAATAACCTCTGCATACCAAATCAACTACTCCTACTTATAACATAGAATAGTGCTTCACAACAACGCATCGACGCCATAGCCCCCCCCCCCCCCCCCCCCCCCCCCCCCCCCAGAAATTTTTTTTAAGGGGGGGGTTTTCAAAAAAAAGGGCCCCCACCGGGGGGGGAAGAACTTTTTTCTTTTTTTCCAAGAAAACCCGCCCCCCCCCCCCCCCCCCCCGCGTGCGCAATTGCTGTTCAACGCGGAACATTTCACAAAAAACCGCACTCACAGAGCATGAACCTGTTTGTGGAGGCCCCGGACTACGGGCGACTGACCTCCATGCACTTCTACGCGTGGAAGAAGGGCCTCAAGACCGGCATGTACTACCTGCGCACTCGCCCCGCGGCCGACGCCATCCCCTTCACAATAGACCCCGCCTCGGGGGCGTCGCGGAAGAGAACGAACGCCGAGGGGGGCCCCGCGACTGAGATCGCGTCGTCGCTGCTCCCCAAAGAGCGAGAGATATACGGGGAGGTTTGCATATCTTGTCAGGGATAGCTAGGGTGTGTGTGTGTGTGTGTGTGTGTGGAAAGCGCGTGTGTTGCGTTCGTTGACTGTTTGGGGAATCTCTCCATGGGGGGGGGCTGCGCGCCCTTTTTTCGGTGCGAGAGAAGACAGTTGTCTGCCACAGCAGTCGTGGCTCCGATGTAAGAGGGTACCTTATATCGCAGGGGGCTCCGATGTGAAAGGGTCGAAATCGGTTGTCATGGAATCGACCCGATAGTTGGCTGCCCTCGTTGTCCGGTATAAGAGGGGGCTCCGATACAACAGGGTCGCGGGCCTTTTTCACACCACCCTCTTGTATCGGAGCCACGACTGTACCGGGAAGCGTTATTTGGGGCGTATTCGTGGAAATGTAATCGTAGAACTATTATAGTCATTACTATATTAGTAAGAATGGCCGTTTCCGAAGATGGTTGTTGATCCCTTGTTGCCTGGCTAGTCTCCTTTTGTATTGCGTTGTTCGGTGGTCGTGTTTGGCTTGCTTCCTTGCTTGGGCGAACTCGACAGCTGTCTACCGGCAGCGGTGAACGAATTCAGCAAGCATCGTAAGATGCTTGCCCTTGTGCTGGCTGGGGCAAGCAACAGCAGCGATTCTCAAGTATTGTGACAGGAATAACACTGAACCAGTTGGCCATTCAAAGCTGATTATCTCTCAGCCGTTCCGGTGTTCCGAGACGCGTACCGTCAAGCGTAGGACAAGGTCACATCACACGATTATTGCAGAGGATGGGAGGTATGGTGTCTGTGCCCCCTTCTTTTGCAGCAGCAGCAGCAGCAGCAGCAGCAGCAGCAACAGCCATGCCGAGCATTCTGAAAGCGCCGCTCCCAGCTGCTGTCTGTCGTCATTGTCGCGCCACCCTGTCTGGCAACCAAGTAGATCTACACGGGGACCCATTCGCGAAGCACGGCTGGGGGCGCTCTTGTTCCGCTGGAAAAAAAAAAGAAGCAAGCATCAAAGAAAACATGTGCATTATAACTACTGCTTCTACTTCGTCTTCATATACCAACCTCTACCTCAGTCGCCCCCCCCCCCCCCCCACCCCCC